GGGGCCGCTGGTCCCCACCCCAAGTCGCCCCCCTCCACATTCCACAGTCACACCCTCAGCCTCTCCTTTGGGGAGAGTCTGGGTCTGGTGCTGAACTGCGGCTTTATAAGCAGGCACCTCCTGGAGGCGCCCCTCCCAAGCATGGGGAACCGGAAATGCCAGAGTGGGAGAGCGCCTCTTTCATGCCTGTCACAGAGCCCAGAGCCCAGAGCCCAGCACCCAGAGCCCAGAGCCCAGCATCCAGAGCCCAGCACCCAGAGCCCAGAGCCCGGAACCCAATGCCCAAAGTCCAGAGCCCAGCACCTAGAGCCCAAAGCCCAGAGCCCAGCACCTAGAGCCCAAAACCCAGAGCCCAGCGCCCAAAGCCCAGAGCCTGGAGCCCAGCACCCAGAACCCAGAGCCCAGCATCCAGAGCCCAGAGCCCGGGGCCCAGAGCCCAGTGCCCAGCGCTCGGAGCCCAGTGCCCAGCGCCCGGAGCCCAGAGCCCAGAGCCCGGAACCCAATGCCCAAAGTCCAGAGCCCAGCACCTCGAGCCCAGAGCCCAGCGCCCAGAGCCTGGGGCCCAGCATCCAGAGCCCAGAGCCCGGGGCCCAGAGCCCAGTGCCCAGCGCTCGGAGCCCAGTGCCCAGCGCCCGGAGCCCAGAGCCCAGAGCCCGGAACCCAATGCCCAAAGTCCAGAGCCCAGCACCTCGAGCCCAGAGCCCAGCGCCCAGAGCCTGGGGCCCAGCATCCAGAGCCCAGAGCCCGGGGCCCAGAGCCCAGTGCCCAGCGCTCGGAGCCCAGTGCCCAGCGCCCGGAGCCCAGAGCCCAGAGCCCGGAACCCAATGCCCAAAGTCCAGAGCCCAGCACCTCGAGCCCAGAGCCCAGCGCCCAGAGCCTGGGGCCCAGCATCCAGAGCCCAGAGCCCGGGGCCCAGAGCCCAGTGCCCAGCGCTCGGAGCCCAGTGCCCAGCGCCCGGAGCCCAGAGCCCAGAGCCCGGAACCCAATGCCCAAAGTCCAGAGCCCAGCACCTCGAGCCCAGAGCCCAGCGCCCAGAGCCTGGGGCCCAGCATCCAGAGCCCAGAGCCCGGGGCCCAGAGCCCAGTGCCCAGCGCTCGGAGCCCAGTGCCCAGCGCCCGGAGCCCAGAGCCCAGAGCCCGGAACCCAATGCCCAAAGTCCAGAGCCCAGCACCTCGAGCCCAGAGCCCAGCGCCCAGAGCCTGGGGCCCAGCATCCAGAGCCCAGAGCCCGGGGCCCAGAGCCCAGTGCCCAGCGCTCGGAGCCCAGTGCCCAGCGCCCGGAGCCCAGAGCCCAGAGCCCGGAACCCAATGCCCAAAGTCCAGAGCCCAGCACCTCGAGCCCAGAGCCCAGCGCCCAGAGCCTGGGGCCCAGCATCCAGAGCCCAGAGCCCGGGGCCCAGAGCCCAGTGCCCAGCGCTCGGAGCCCAGTGCCCAGCGCCCGGAGCCCAGAGCCCAGAGCCCGGAACCCAATGCCCAAAGTCCAGAGCCCAGCACCTCGAGCCCAGAGCCCAGCGCCCAGAGCCTGGGGCCCAGCATCCAGAGCCCAGAGCCCGGGGCCCAGAGCCCAGTGCCCAGCGCTCGGAGCCCAGTGCCCAGCGCCCGGAGCCCAGAGCCCAGAGCCCGGAACCCAATGCCCAAAGTCCAGAGCCCAGCACCTCGAGCCCAGAGCCCAGCGCCCAGAGCCTGGGGCCCAGCATCCAGAGCCCAGAGCCCGGGGCCCAGAGCCCAGTGCCCAGCGCTCGGAGCCCAGTGCCCAGCGCCCGGAGCCCAGAGCCCAGAGCCCGGAACCCAATGCCCAAAGTCCAGAGCCCAGCACCTCGAGCCCAGAGCCCAGCGCCCAGAGCCTGGGGCCCAGCATCCAGAGCCCAGAGCCCGGGGCCCAGAGCCCAGTGCCCAGCGCTCGGAGCCCAGTGCCCAGCGCCCGGAGCCCAGAGCCCAGAGCCCGGAACCCAATGCCCAAAGTCCAGAGCCCAGCACCTCGAGCCCAGAGCCCAGCGCCCAGAGCCTGGGGCCCAGCATCCAGAGCCCAGAGCCCGGGGCCCAGAGCCCAGTGCCCAGCGCTCGGAGCCCAGTGCCCAGCGCCCGGAGCCCAGAGCCCAGAGCCCGGAACCCAATGCCCAAAGTCCAGAGCCCAGCACCTCGAGCCCAGAGCCCAGCGCCCAGAGCCTGGGGCCCAGCATCCAGAGCCCAGAGCCCGGGGCCCAGAGCCCAGTGCCCAGCGCTCGGAGCCCAGTGCCCAGCGCCCGGAGCCCAGAGCCCAGAGCCCGGAACCCAATGCCCAAAGTCCAGAGCCCAGCACCTCGAGCCCAGAGCCCAGCGCCCAGAGCCTGGGGCCCAGCATCCAGAGCCCAGAGCCCAGAGCCCGGAGCCCAGAGCCCAGAGCCCAGTGACCGGAGCCCAGCGCCTGGAGCCTGGAGCCCAGCGAGGGAGCAGAGGCCTGGCTCTCCCGCGCAGGAAAGGAGTTGCCATGGCTGAAGGGCCTGCTCACCTCACCCAGGGCCCCAGCATCTGAACCAAGAACTCTGGATTTGACAGTTGACCATAATCCCCCAGGCCAGGGCCGGGCTGAGAGTCAGGCTGAGGAAATCCAGGCTGCCAGCACCTTCCTCCTTCAGAACGGGGGTTCAAGCTCTTCACCCTTCGGTTCCAAGAAATTGCCCGTCTCTCATTCCTCTTGGGCTCTTGGGTCACCTGCCCGCGCTGAGTGAGGGACCCCGCCCTCCACCCAGGCTGTGCTGGGGGCACCTAGTCTGCACTGAGGCCAGAGGAGGAGGCCGGGTGTTCGGGGTGCCAGCTGCTGGGCGGGGCTGGTGAGAGGCTTCTGGCCCTGGACAGCTGTGTCTCCGGGAGGACACCGTGGTCACCGGGCGCTTGTTCGTTTCCTGACGCCTGAAGGACCTCAGTGTCTGACGCCAAAGCCTCGATGTTCGGGTGGAATCAGACACAAGCTGCAGCAGTGACTGGGGAGGCAGCTCACAGACCCCCAGCTCCTCCTCCCTCAGACCCAGGAGTCCAGACCCCCAGCCGCTCCTCCCTCACACACAGGGGTCCAGACCCCCAGCTCCTCCTCCCTCAGACCCAGGGGTCCAGGCCCCCGGCCCCTCCTCCCTCACACACAGGGGTCCAGACCCCCAGCTCCTCCTCCCTCAGACCCAGGAGTCCAGACCCCCAGCCGCTCCTCCCTCACACACAGGGGTCCAGACCCCCAGCTCCTCCTCCCTCAGACCCAGGAGTCCAGACCCCCAGCCGCTCCTCCCTCACACACAGGGGTCCAGACCCCCAGCTCCTCCTCCCTCAGACCCAGGAGTCCAGACCCCCAGCCGCTCCTCCCTCACACACAGGGGTCCAGACCCCCAGCTCCTCCTCCCTCAGACCCAGGAGTCCAGACCCCCAGCCGCTCCTCCCTCACACACAGGGGTCCAGACCCCCAGCTCCTCCTCCCTCAGACCCAGGAGTCCAGACCCCCAGCCGCTCCTCCCTCACACACAGGGGTCCAGACCCCCAGCTCCTCCTCCCTCAGACCCAGGGGTCCAGGCCCCCGGCCCCTCCTCCCTCAGACCCAGGCGTCCAGGCCCCCAGCCCCTCCTCCCTCAGACCCAGGAGTCCAGGCCCCCAGCCCCTCCTCCCTCAGACCCAGGGGTCCAGGCTCCCAGCTGGAAGGACCCCCCTGCCTGATTGCATCACCCGTTCAGGCTGACCTGGCCACGGTGGAATCCGTGCTCCTGCCAAGTGGGTCAAATATCACGGGTCAGCCGTAGAGAAGGTGACTGGGCGGGTCTGTTTGGATATAAATCCTGCAGCTTCGGCATCTCTCCCAAGAGCCTTGGTTGTCCCATGTCCTGGGAATCCACGTGCAAGAAGGACGCAGGCGTTTGGAGAACCTGAGCAGCAGAGCAGGGGTCACTCTCCCGGACACCCCGGATCTGAAACAGAATCCAGACCCTTCAGTGATTCCGACTGCGGGCTGCGACCTCACCTGAGGACTGAGCCATTGATGGGCAGGGTCAGGGCCTGGTTCCAGTACCCAGGACTGTGGGTCCCTGTGCTGGCTGTCCTGCTGGGAGCCGGCCAGGCACTCCCCATCCATGACTCCAGCCCCCTCCTCCAATTTGGGGGCCAAG